CTGCTGCAAGGCATCGAGGGGGCTCATTCACCCCCTGACCTGCTACCATGTCCCTGTGTGTCCCCAAAGTGTCCCTGCGTGTCCCTGCGCATCCCAAGTGACAGTACCCCAGGAATTCCCATCAGGATTTGGGACAATTTCAAAGAAAATTCCCAGAAAATTCCCTAAATTTGTCTCAAATCCCATGTGGGGAGTAGGGAGGGGACAAGTGACACCAGTGATGTCCCCGATGATGTCACTGTCCCCAGTGACAGCACAGTGGTGACATCACTGTTCCCACAGCAGACTTGGGATGTCCTCGATGGCTCTTTGGCATTTCTCGACCACCTCACGGTGGCTATGGTTATCAAGCCAAGGGTCATAGCAGGAAGCCCAGTAGATGCACTCCATGTCCCCGAGTGTGTGCAGCAGGTGATTGTTGGCCAGGCGGGCGCTGGCATCCCACAGCCGCTCGGCCTCGGCCCCCTTGGCCGCCAAGGTCACACGGAAGTCGCGGGACGGCTCATTTGTCCCCTTCAGGGCAGCTTCGATGTCCCGAACCCTGCGCCGCAGCTCCCGGGGGAATGCAGTGGCTTCGTCACGTGCGGCCACCAATTGCTCCAGCATCTCCAAGGCCGCCTCTGCCTGCTCTCTCATTGTGGTGGCCTCCTCCTCCTCCTCACTGCTGTCCACCTCAGCCTCTCCCATAGCATCTTCTATGGCCGCAGTGGTGCCCTCACCGGCGACCACGTCCCTGCAGGCGTCCCGGAGCTCGGTGGCCTTCCCCAGCAGCTGGAACCAGCTGTCCACGAGTGTGGCCACCGACTTCCGCCAGGCCCTGGCCACCCTCGTCACCTGGGCCCAGGTGGTCCATGGGGTGCTCTCATAGGCGGCCAGGGCCTGGCCCAGGGAGGTGAGAGTGTACTTGCGCTCGAAGGTGACACCACGGTGCCACCAGGTGACGCCACCGTGGTCCAGGGTGTTCCGGAGGCGATTGGCGAAGCCCTCCAGGCCTGCGTGCAGGCACTCTGGGGGCACATCCAGCACCTCATCGATTTTTTCCAGCGGGGCCGTGGTGTCTGCCACCTTGTTCAGGGTGGCCACCACGGTGACCAGCGACTCCAGCAGGGATGGGAACAGCTGAGGAGGGGACAGGGGAGGTGTCAGGGACCTGGTGGCTCTTGTGGCCTCCTGCGGTGGTGCCTTTGTGCCCTCCCAGGGTCCCATTCGTCCCCTCCCTGGAGGGCTCTGCTGTCCCCTCTGTCCCTTTGTTACCCCCTCGTCCCCTCTGCCACACCCTGCCCCCCACTGTCCCCCCAACCCCACCACCCTCAGTCCCCTCCATCCCCCTGCCACATCCCCCCTTCCTGCCACACCCTCCTGTCCCCCTTGTGAACCCCTCTCCCCTCCTGCCCCTCCACCACCTTGCTCCCCTCTGGCCCCCCCGGCCCCTCCCGCCACCACCTGTGTCCCCTGTGTCCCCTGTGTCCCCTCCTGCCCCCGCGCCGGGATTGTCGCACCTCGCGGGGCTCCATGGCTGCTGGGGGACACGCCGGGGACGCCTTGGAGACACTCTGGTGACACTTTGGTGACACTCCGGGGAGTGAACACACCCGAGCGACAGTCAGAGACTTGCCCGAATGGGGCGGCCGGGGGGGTGGGGAGGGGCGAGGGAAAGGTGAGGTCACCCCCCAGCACCGCCCCCCCGCCGGCAGGGCCAGGGCAGGGTCCCCAATGTCCCGCCGATGTCCCCAACGAGACCCCAATGTCCCCTGAGTGTCCCCACATGGCCCTGATGTCTCCTCAGGGTCCTGAACAAGGCCCAAGTGTCCCCCAATGTCCTGTTGGGGACACTGCGGGGACATCAGGGACATTGTGGTGACCCAAAACGGTACAGGGAACGTCAAGTTGGCCCTGGTGTTTCCAAGGGAAGGACACGGGGGTGTCCCTAAGGTCCCCAATGTCCCTCAGGGTGTCCCCGTGCCCCGGCGGTGACAGTGCCACCCACGTGTCCCCACCCTGTCCCTACCCCTGCCCTGCCAGCGTCCCCTGGGCCACCTCCAGCCTCCGTGTCACCTCCTTGTGCCCTTCCCCCGGTGTCCCCAAGGCCACCACGATGTCCCCGAGGACCCGGGCAGCGCTGAGGAAGCCCTGTCTCCTTGTCCCCTATGGCGTCACCTCCCTGTCCCCGGTGACAGCGGCCACCAACATCCCCAACGCCAGCATCACCTCCTCCAGCTGCCCCAGCACATCCGCGGTGACCTCGTTGGTGTCCGCGGTGGCCTCGGTGCTGGCCCTGGTGGCCGCCACCCGCCGGGCGCGGTCATGCAGGCGCAGGGCCATGTCCCGCTAGTGGCCCCGCTGGTGGCCAGGTGATGCTGCAATGTCCCCAGATCCCGCCAGGCCACCTTGCAGGACACGGCCACCCTGGCCAGGGCCAGCAGCAGGTGACCATCCTCGGCCACGCCCAGGGACACTGCAGGGACATGCGGACACTGGACAGGTGGCACCAGGGACACGGCAGTGCCACCAGCCCAGTGCCACCTGTTCAATCCCCGTGTCCCTGTGCCACTGCCACCAGTCCTGTCCCAGTGTCCCCAGTTCCATCCCAGTGCCACCAGCCCAGTGCCACCAATTCCACCCCACTGCCACCAGTTCTGTCCCACTGTCACCACCCCAGTGTCCCTAAGGCAGTCCCAGTGCCACCACCCCTGTGTCATCATTCCAGTGCCACCAACCCGGTGTCCCCAGCTTCATTCCAGTGTCACCAAACCAGTGCCACCAGTTCTGTCCCACTGTCACCGGCGTTTTGGGGGGTTTGGGGGATCCCAGGTGGAGTTTGGGGGCTCTCGGGGGAGTTTGAGGGAATCCCAGATAAAGTTTGGAGGGTCCTGGGGGGGTTGGGGGGATCCTGGAAGGTTTGGAGTTCCCAGGTGAAGTTTTGGGGGTCCCAGGTGAGGTTTCCAGGGAATTGGGTAATCCCAGTTGAGAATTCCCAAAGATTTGGGGTTTCCCAGGTGAGAACACAGGCCGGGGGTTCAGGGGGGCCAAGGGGCTTGGGCCTGGGAGCATTTTGGGGGCTTCAATCAATGGGGAGCGCCTGGGGGGTGCCGAGGGGGAGGCGTGGTGAGTGTGTGCGGGGCTCTCATGGATTTGATGCCTCAGGTTTTGGCTTTTCTGTTTTTCAGATTCTGTGCTGCTTTACTCTCTGGGTCTGGGCTTCATAATAAGGGATGCTGAGCTCTGTTCACAGAGCAGGGAGACAAAACAATTCCTGCTCTAGCTGGGAACCCAAGGACAAATAATCCAAACTTCAGGCCCAAGAGCATAAACAACGGGCACTGAAGAGAGAAAAACAAGAAGGATGGGACTTCATCATCTAAAGACATAATTGGACAATTAACTCCAATATGCAAATGGCCCAGAACTTATAAAAGTGACAGACCTCGTGACCGGCCGTCCATTTTGTGGCCATTTTGGTCCATCTTGGGCGTAGCCCTGGCTGGGCTCTTGTTCTGCCCAAGGTGTATCCACGGAGGCCTTTTAACAAATGCCTGCTTTATTGTGTAACCGTGTCTGGCCTCTGTTCTAGGTCAGCCTTGTGAAGGCCTCAGTTTGTGGCGAGCACGAAGGGAGCCGAGGCACCTGGGCAGGGCTGGAGCAGAGGCAGAGGAAGGTGCAGCTGCTGCCCCCAGCCCGCGGCACTGGCGGGGCCCAGGTGCGGGGCAGAGGGTGCGGGAGGCCGAGAAGCTCGGGAGGAGCGAGAGAGGCGTGAGCGGCTGCAGGGGCGCTGTGTTTATCGGGTGAGCGCGGTGGGAAGGGGCGTTTTGTGTTTGGGAGCGCAGCAGGTGCGGGGCTCGCTGTGCCCCGGGCCGGGGAGGGCGGGCGCTGTGAGCAGCGGGGTTGGATTGCGGGGCTGGGCTTGGCCTGGGGCCGGCAGTGCTGGCGCAGGGATCGTTCCCGCAGCGCCGCTCCGGAGCGCCGCGATCGGAATCTCGCTCTTTCTCTCTCTCGTTGGTTCTTTTAATTTCTGCTCAGAACTGTTAAAATTCCGTGTGTATATTCTGCTGCGAGTGCTGTAGTGGTAATATCCCGAGAGACAGTCCCCTGAGATTAGCACTGAGAAACTGGGGCACAGTGACCCACGCTGCAGCACTTGGAGGGGGCTGTGCCCCGTGGGATGGACTCAGCTTGGACAAGTTCCTGGAGAAGTCTCCGGTGGGAGAGAGCCCAGGGTGCAGCAGGGGAACGACTCCTGTCCCTGAGCAGAGGGAGAAGCCCCGGGGCATGAACTGAGCCCGGCCCCATTCCCTGTCTGCGGCACTGCCGGGGTAGGAGGTGCAGCTGGAAGGAGGGAGGCGTGGGGGAAAGCTGCATTTAAGGCTCTTCACTTATTTCTCATTATCCTGCTCTGAGTTTTTGGAGTTTTCTGTCCGAAATCTCTCCCCTCCCCCACTCATCCACAGGGCTTTGGGGCGGTTTCCCATTTCTTGGGGAAATCAAAGCGATGCACTGATGCTCCTAATTAGGGGTAGGAGAAGTGAGGCTCCAGGGCTTCCCGCTGAGCCGGAGCCACCGGAGCCGCAGTGCCGGGAAAGCCGTGGCGGGAGGTGCGGAGAAGTTTGTTTGTGTTTTCAGCTCAATCCCCCTCGGGCCCGGGCCCGTTCCAGGGCTGTTCCTGAGCTCCGGCTCTGCCCTCACGCAGCCCGGGGGGCCCTGAGAGCGCGGGGCGGGGCTGTGCCGTGTGCAGAGCCCGCCCCTGGCTGGGATTGGGTGATGGTGCCGTCAGTCGTGGTTGTGGCGCGCTGATTGGTGGGAGCGGGGCGGAGCAGGGCCCCGGTGGCGGGCTGAGGGCGGCCGTGGCTGGGCAGCGGCGCCATTGTCGGTGTGTGTGTGCGGGCCCGTGAGCGGCGGCAGCGGCCGGAGCGCGGTGAGGCAACGGAGGGGGGGCAACGCTCCTGGGCCTGGGGCAGGAGGAGAAGGGAAGGAGAAGCAGGGTTGAGGAACAAAAGGGTCAAACGATGCACGTGAGAGGAGAAGGTGACATTGTGCAGGAGAAGGAGGAATAGCAGGAGGAAGAGGAGTGGGAGGAAGAGTAGGGACACAGGAGGAGGAACAGAAGAGGAAGTTGCACGAAGTTCCACTCTCCCTCTATCTGCAGCCTCCAACCCCAGCCCCAGGAGCGTTGCCCCCCCTCCACATGCAGCAGGTGACCAGGGATTGGGATCCACGATTTTCCCGGGGTGAATCTTGGTATTTCTGAGCTTTATTGGCCTAATTGTTGGTGCTTTGTTTTTTTGTGGGGGCTGAATCTTTATATTTTGGAGGGGGCTTTGTTGAATCTTGATGTTTGGGAAGTTTTTGATCTGTGTGTTGATGTTTGGAGGATTTTGTGCTGAATCTTGGTGTTTTGGAGGTTCTTACATACACAAGATTCCCAATGACTTCCTGAGATAAACTTGAGCAAGTAGGAACTCCCAGTCCAAGACACTCTCATTTTGTTTTTTACCCATACCAGGATTTTTCATTCCTAGCACGTGTGTGGATGGAGGAGGAAGAAAAGCCCTGGAGATTCCGCACAAGGAGGGGCAGCAAACCCAGCCCAGGGAGCTGCGGGGAGGGAAGAGCCCCCCTGAGCAAGGAAGGCGGCCGGAGATGCAGCCAGAGCTCCGAGCTGGTGGAGAAGCCCCATGGCAGAGAGAAGCCCCACAAGTGCTTGGAATGTGGGAAGGGTTTTAGTCGCAGCTTGCACCTGATCGAGCACCAGGTGATCCACACTGGGGAACGGCCCTATGAATGTGAGGAATGTGGGAAGCATTTCAGCTGGAGCTCCAGCCTGACGCAGCACCAGAGGATCCACACTGGGGAGAGGCGCTTTGAGTGTGAGGAGTGTGGGAAGAGCTTCAGGCAGAGGGGGCACCTGATGCAACACCAGATGATCCACACTGGAGACCGCCCTTATGAGTGTGGGGAATGTGGGATGAGCTTCAGCCAGAAGGGCCACCTGATGCAACACCAGAGGATCCACACAGGAGGAAAGCCCTATGAGTGTGTGGAATGTGGGAAGAGCTTCAGCCAGAGCTCTGGCCTGAGGAGACATGAGAGGATCCACACTGGGGAAAAGCCCTATGAGTGTGGAGAGTGTGGGAAGAGCTTCAGCATCAAGTGCCAGCTGACGGAACACCAGAAGATCCACACTGGGGAAAAGCCCTACAAGTGTGGGGAATGTGGGAGGAGCTTCAGAGAAAGCTGGGCCCTGATTCGGCACCAGATGATCCACTCAGGGGAACGGCCCTACACCTGCTTGGAATGTGGGAAGAGCTATGGGTGGCACACTGACCTGAGAAAACACCAGCAGCGTGTTCACTCTGGGGAGAAGCCCTACAAGTGTCCCCAGTGTGGGAAGAGGTTTCACAGGAGCTCCGATCTCCTCAAACATGAGCGGAGTCACAGCTAGGAGGGGCCCTTCCGCTGCCCCGACTGTGGGAAGGGATTCAAGCGAAACTGCACCCTCATCCTGCACCGGCGCATCCACACGGGGGAGAGGCCCTACGAGTGTGGGGAGTGTGGGATGAGATTCTCATCGAGCTCAACTTTTACCTGACACCAACGGAGGCGCCACTAAGGGAAGCCCTGTGAGTGCCCTGAGTGTGGGAAGAGCTTTGTGTGCTGCTCCAGCTCCATCCCCCATGGGAGGATCCGTGTTGGATGATCCCCAGTGACCCTCGTTTGTCAGAGCCCTGGTGATCTGTGGTCCTGGTGATCCAAGTTGGAAGGCATCTGGCTGGGGGGCTCCACATCTTCCTGGTTCCCTGAGGGTACCTAGATAAACCCAGCAGCAGGAACATCCATCAGGACACAGACCTACAATGGGAATTCCTTGGGGAGAAGAGATTTGTCAAATTTCAACCCCATAAAATCTTTTGCATTCAGTCCTGTCTTCTGGTGACATCAGGGAGTACTGAATGGTCCCTGAGGTATATTCTGTGTCGACTATAAGATGCTTGTGTCCCCAGTCTGTTCTGTTTGTGCTGAATAAGAAGTTTTGCACCTTCAAGACTTGTCCTGAGAGTGAAGGGGGGAGAGAAGAAGTGTGGAGTTTGTTTTAGACACTGCACTCACTCCTCCACATTCCTGCTCCTGCACTGTGTTGTCTGTGGATGGACAGACAGCGGGACAGAGCTCTCCTTTGCTTTTAGTTAGTTTTAGCTAGCTGAACCAAAGTTCCCTGAACTGTGGGGTTTTTTCCCTTTTCTTTGGACCTGTTCAAACCTGCTCTGGCCAGAACACCAGAAGAGCACGGGCAGCTCACACCTGTTGCCCACTGGGCCGGGCCTGGGCTGCGACATTTCCAGCATCGGAGGGACTGATCAGAGACTGAGTGAGCTGAGCTACAGCCCACAGAGGGACTTTGTGAGTTTGTCTCTCTTTTAGAGAAACAAGAGGTTTTATTGTTTAATATTATTTAGGTTTTATTGTTTAATAAACAGTTTTTTCCACTTTTCTCCAAGGAAGTATTTTATTTTTCCTGAACCAGTTGGGGGAGGGGCCGATTGAATCTGCTGTCCAGAGGAACTCCTTTGGGAGTTCTCTCCCAAATTTGCCCTGAACCAGGACAAGGTCTTTTCCAACTTCAGGGATTCCACAATTTTGATTTCCTGTTGCCCAAGGGTGTCTTCTGCAGCCAAATGGTGAAAAACTGGGGAAAAGGCCAAGATTTTAGAGACAGTGGGATAGAAATTCCACCAAAAAAGGTTCTTCCCTTCCACTTAAGCTGTGGATCCTCAGCTGGTATGGAAAGGAAATCCCTTTCTTATGCCTCAATTTTGTTTTAATTTCTCTTTATCCCTTTAAAATATCCAATATTGAGGTAAAAATAGACATTGAACTAAGACTTGGGTGTGGTCATGGTAGGACACATGGACAAATGGAGAGAGACTTGGGGATGCATGGATATTAACAGAGAAGGGGCCATTTGTGGGGACATGGGGGACATGGGCATGGATGGAGATGTGGGGGACAATGACAGGGATGGAAACACGGTGGGGAGACAGCCATGGGTGAGGACATGGTGGGACATGGGCAGTGACATGTGGGGACATGGCCATGGCTGGTGCCATGGGGGGAACTTGCAGGGGATGTGGGGGATGCTGGGTTTGAGGGGGTTGAGGGTTCCTGGGAGGGACTTGGGGCTTGCTGAGGCCTCTGGGGAGCCCAGGCTGAGCAGCTCCAGCTGTGCAGGGAGACCCTGGGGGAGGTTCTGGGGCAGCTGCTCAAGGACCCCCTGACCTGGAGCCCCAGCCAGGCATTGGGCTCCTGGAAGGGGATGAACGTCCTTGTCCCCAGGAGGGAAATCCCAGCACCCCCAGGGTGTCAGGGGCAGCTGAGGGGCCACAACAGGGAGCAGAGAGCCGGACAGAGCTGTCACACTTATAAGCTAAACCCCAAAAGTCCCAAAACTGAGGGATTCCTCCCAGGAAAAAGCAGCCAGGAGCTGCCAGAATTGAGGGAAAGGGGGAATGTGACCCTCCAGACTGAGCAGGAGGGGCCTGCATCCCCCAAAACCAAGAACAGGGGTGAGGGCTGGGGCTGGGGGCACAATGGGGAAGGGGTGGAAGAGCAGGGGAAAAGAGGATTCAGAGCGCGAGAGGATGGCACCCCCAAATTGAGTTGGGAGGGGTCTTTGGGTTGGAGGAATGACGGGTATGGGGAGGGAAAGGTGGGGATGGAACAGAAAAAGAGCGGTTCCATGGGGATCCCATTGTGTCCCCATCATTCGATTCCTGGAGTGATTCCCTGGGGCTCAGGGGGGGAATGGATCCGCACTGGGTGGGTCTCCAAGCCCCCTGCCCATCCCTGGGGGGTTCATGGGGGGTTCTCTCCAGCCAAATGCTGGTGGTGCTGCAGCCATGGGGGAGAGGTGGGATCTGGAATGGGCAGGGAAGGAAGAGCAATAGGAAGAGGAGGGAGAGGAGGAGGATGGAGGATGGAGGAAAGGAGGAACAGGAACAGGAGGAGCAAGAGGAGGAGCCCCAGCAGAACCACGCTTTTCCCACCTGCCCGCTGAGTCTGCAGCTCCCCTGGCCCTGGCAGCATCGATTCCCCAGATCCCACAGGTGAGCAGGGAGGGGGAACTGACCCCAAATCCATCGGGGAATCTCTGGAAGGGTTTGTTTCTGGGGAGGGGATGTTTGGATCTTGCAGGTCCCCAAGGGTGAGACGCAGATGCCCCTTTGGAGACTTGTGGAGGGTTCCTGTGGCAAACTGGCTGGGGAGGTGGTACCAGTTCTGGGGGGACATTGGCATCAGAGTGGGGAGAGCAGCAAAGGCCAATTCTGGCAGCCTGGAGGGGTGGGGGAAGCTGGAGATGAGCAGGGTCTGGGCCTACCTGACTGTGGACAGGGCTGTTACTTCTGGAGCTGGACTTGGGCAGCAGGACCAAGGGCTCACCCATTGTTTTTCCCCCAAGCCAGGATTTGTCAATCCCAAACTTTGTCTGGATGGAGCTGGAGGAGGCTGCAAGGAAAAGTAAAATGACCTGGGACACTGAGGCAGGTGAGGAGGAAGTCACTGCCCCTTTCCCCCTCTCCTCTGCTCTGTGTCTCAGCCCAGCATTGCCCCTGGCTGCAGGACAGCCCCACTGCTGACACCATCCTGCCAGGGATGAACTGGTGGGATCTCTTCCCCTTCCCTCTAGCATGGAGGCAAAAACCATCCTCTCCTTGTCCACAACTCCTTCCTCTTCTCTTTCTGTCCTTCCTTCCTCTTTCCTTCCTCTTCTTTTCTTTCCTTACCCCAGGCACTGAGCTGCAGATGGAGACCAGGGAGGACAAATCCCTGTGGTATGCACATTTCTTTGAATAGAGACATAATTCTCTCTCACAGGATTTTTCCTGGGAAGCTGTGGAAAAGCTGAGAAAGCTCAGAAAGTAAGAAAACAATTCTTATCTCACTTGCTGCACCTGTTGTTTGGCACATGTGGAATGTGTTATGGAGATTGTTTACCCAGAGTGATTTGTTAATTGGACACTAGTGATGGTTGTTTGGACTGATTGACCAATTAGGTCAAAGCTGGGTCGTGACTGTCTGCAAAGGGTCAGAGGGTTTTTTTTAGTATGTAATTTAGTATAGATTTAGTATAGCAATAGTGTAATGTAGTATAATATAGTATAGAATAAAGCATCTGTTCAGCCTTTAAAATCATGGAGTCAGAGCATATAATTCCTTGGATGGGTGAGACAAAGTAGAAATTTAACAGGATAGAAATGCATTTTTGGATTTAGGTGAAAAGTGCTGTTCTGAGCCTGTAACTTGTTTATCTGTGTTTAAGACTCCCTGTTCTCACAAGAGAGGAAAAAAAACAAAGAAAAAATCTTGTGCTCACAGAATGGCCTCGACCAAGAGAAGCAATTCAAATTCCCAAGATAAACGGAGGCCCCTTTGTTGGGGGCAAAGGCTGAGGCTGACCAGAGAGCTCTCTGCGCAAAGGGCAAGGAGTGATAAAAACTAATTGCAACCTGTAACGTGAAATCAGTAAAATGATTATGAATGAGACAATATGCATATGTATAAGCAAGGGGGAATACCCAGGGGTGCGTGTGTCCTTTGGGGGAACAATTCCCACATGTGTCCAGCGCTAAACATACCGGCTTTACGACTTTTTACTAAATTGTGCAGTTTCCCCTTTTTTTTCCACTAATCATTTTGGCGAGCCAGCCAGGCGATTGTCTGTCCTCACAGGGGCGGAAGGGAGGACGGACTCCTGGGCGCTCCCTGGGATTTTCCTGGAGGAGTTCTGCTCCATCTCGGCTTGCCTCCTGCGGATACAGACAATGACCTGCTGCTGTGCAGATACACGGTATGTCTGTCAAAGGGCCCGGGGGAGATAGGGCTGCTGATAAGTCACTCAGAGGAGTCTGAGTGCACAGCCTCGGCCCTGTGCTTGCAGGCAGCCATCAACCAGGAGCACAGTCAGCAGCAGAGGTTCCCGGTTGATAGCACAACTGGGAACGGGTTCATTGTTCAATAGAGCGGCCGCTAGCGACTCTGGGGTGAGCCGAGTGAACCCGAACTTTGTGTGCTTGTGGTGTCCAGACATTGTATGGCTAATGCATTGTGTGGTTAATGTTGGCGTGTTTGTAATTGTGTGAGTGTGTGGTGTATAAAACAGACCGAGCGAGTGAGTGAGTGAGTGTACCCACAGCGTGCGGGGACAGTTCTACCCGTGTCTGAAGCACCAGGTGAGGCCCGGAGCGCTGGCTGGGGCAGGCTGTGAGGGCAGGAACACCCCGTGGAGTAGTGGAACAAGTGGAGAAATGTGGGTGAGGACATTTATTAACTATTGTGTTTAAAGGTGGTGATGTGTGATTTGTGTAGATTGTGCACATTTTACCCGTGGCTAGATGAACTCAGGGGATTCTTCTGCCCCCGCAGTTTGGACTTGATCCCTGGAATTTT